AGGCTTTCAGGCCTCTTGGAACTTACTCATGGACTTGCAGCAATGATGAACACATGCACACAACCCATGCCAACGCAATCAGACAAAAACCCAGCATAGAACAGGGAAAATGGGCAACAGGCCCCAACCCTAGCCAAGGAACTATTGGCAAATGGTTACTGTGTGGTGAGGGAGAATAGCTCTTCTTTAAGGGAGTGATGCTAGATAGGCTGACTAAACTCCAGTGAATGAACTTGAACTGAGGGACATCTGGATGTAAATGTTTGACTGGATAGGACTTAACATATATGACAGAATACCTGAAATCTGGTGTGGGGGTTTATGAGGGACAGGAAGACGGAGGGGGTTTAAATTGGATTAAGATGTATTATATGAAATGCAAAAAACTCAATAAAAGTTTGCCAGTTGAAAAAAAAGCAAACAGTATCAAAAAAATTCTTCAAAATCTTACCCCAGATTTGATACAGAAACACTCTGTAAGTCATCCTGTGGCTGTTTGTGCTTCCCCTCTATCTCTATAAGTTCCCTGACTCCCTACTACTTCTGTGTGAAATCACTTCTCTTTTCTTTTCTCTATACTGACAGCCTCTAGAACTCAATAACTGTCTCTCAAATCTGTTTCATCTTGCCTCTATATGTTATGCTTCCTGCTTCACCATATTTAGTATGTGCTCAGTAGAGTCTGGTGTTTCACAGATGCTTAATAATCCCTAAGAAAGACCTCCCTTCTAGCCCTAGTGCTCAAGGCTCGAGGTCTGGAAGAGGGAAGGGCTATGGATCAGAAATACTTTCCAGCTGTACCACTTCTCAGAGAACAGAGAAGGCGGAAACATCTACACCAACCTACAAGATCTAGGTAAGGCACAGCGAGTGAAAGGGGCCTGACCATTAGAAACAAGATTGGTAATTCTCAAAATGATCCCTGAAACAAGACCTATTTGATATTTGGTAATTTCAGAGTAAAAACCGCAGAGTAAAAGCCAAATCTTCTTAACAATTAAGGCTCTTAAGATTTCCCAGCTTTCACTTGTCTGGCTTTATCCCCAGTTATGTGCCAGGCATCATCCCTTACCTTCTCCTTACACCATATTAACGTCAATTTCTCAAGCATTTTCCTACATAGACACCAGGATTTATAGCCCTTGTAATATGCCTTAATGAAGGTCTGGAGTAGGTGGGGGATCCCAGAGGAGAGAGGCCCATAGCCTGTGCTCGAATTCTCAACTAGGAATTGTCAGGTGAAATAAAAAGGGAGAGGAGCCGGGCATGGTGTCAGACGCCTTTAATCCCAGCACTCAGGAGGCAGAGACAGGTGGATCTCTGTGAGTTCAAGGCCAGCCTGGTCTACATAGTGAGTTCCAGGCCAGCTGGGGCTACAGGGAGACCCTGTCTCGAAAAAGACAAGAAAAAAAAAAGGAGGGAGAGGATGGGCAGGTGCAGGGCTCTGAGGCTGAGGAAGCTGGAGTGCAGCTTTCAGCATATTTGACATTAAAGTGAAGTTTAGCTGAACCTGGGAGTAGTAAGTGGGGTGAAGAGGGAGGCTAGGGACAGACAGTCCCTCCGGCCGGAACTATAGAGGAGGTAGCAGAGCAAATTAGAGGAGTGGCCTCAGGTGATTTGCAGGACAAAGGAATCTCTTAGGAACTCAGAAGGAGCCTAAGAAAATGCAGAGCTCTGTCCCAAAGCTCAGGAGAGAAAGACTGGGTCAGAGCTGGAGTTTCCAGGATGAAGGCTAGAGCTAGAGGCCCCTAGAGAGAATAAGTGGATTGTAGTTTACGAAAAGTGTGTGTGTGTGTGTGTGTGTGTGTGTGTGTGTGTGTGTGAAGACAGTGAGTGTGCAAATACATGTGAGAGACAGTGCATGCATGTATGGTGTAAGAGACAGTCTGTGAAAGCATGTATGTGACAGAGAGACTGTGTGTAAGACAGTGTATATGCATGTATGGAGAGATCGTGTGTGTGTGTGTGTGTGTGAGAGAGAGAGAGAGAGAGAGAGAGAGAGAGAGAGAGAGAGAGACTGTGTTTGTGTTTGTGTCTGTGTCTATGTCTGTGTGTGAAGATTCATAGCACGGAGTCACAGACCTGCTGGATTCCAGTTGGATTCTTGATAGAGAAGGCACAGCAGAGTCAATGTTAAGATACCTCCATTTCACTAGAGTCCAGCCCCCAGAGCCTCTTGGCCTCTGTTGCTGGCTTTATAATACTGGGCCACTTGAGGTTTGTTCAGGGAGGTCGGCCAGAGAATGTTTCTCTTTCTGCAGGCCGCACAGTTCAAAACCTACTGAGGTAGCCTAGAAATGGAGTTTTCGGCATCTCAATTCTCAGCCATAGTCTGAATGAGGGGCTTCTATGGAGCCTGAATAATAACTTCCTTCAAGACTCCATAGTGTCCCAGAGCAAAAGGCGACAGTGAGTGGTATTCTCATCCATGCTACCCAAGAACCTTCTCGGGCTTCCATGGCCAGATGGGGTGATTCTGGGCTCTAAATTCAGGCTATTAGTCCAAGAGCACAAGTTTTGGGACAACGTGTTACCTTCTTTACACATCATTAACAATGAGTTTGGTGATTTTGTGTTACAAAGAGCTTTCCCATCCGCATATTTTTAAATGTTCCAGTTTAGTTTTGTCATTCTAATTGTCTAATGCAAAGATGGCATAAGGTGATGGATGAGAATGCGAGGTTCTCTATACAGTCCACCACGAGTTGAATCCTAGCTCTGCACCTTGCTGGGTGTGTTGACCTTAGGCAGATTGTTTACTAATTCTGTGTTTCAGTTTCCTGGTCTGTAAAATGGGGTTGATAATGATAGATTTCCCTGTGTAGCTGTGAGCATGAAATGGGTACAGACTGCTATATTCAGTGACTGGTATTATCATAGTGTTTAAAAAACTGGTATGGTGTTTCCACTCTGACAGTAATACTCAATACCCTGCTCCAAAATAACATCACACTTGACCAATTCTGACTCCTCAATGTGTTCAAAACCCTTGCTCTCCTTTCCTTTTCTGTTACCACTGCCCTAGTCTAGGCACAAAGTAATAGCAGCCTGCTTGCAGTTCTGGGTTTACAGCCATGCCTGGCTTCTTGGTTGCAATCTTTTCTTTGATTCTCACTCCATCTCTACCACCTCCTACATATTCTCTATCATAAGTTATGCTTGCACTACAGACTCTTTAGGAGGGGAAACGTCATCCTCTCTGAATAGGCAGACTCCAGAACAATGCCTCCCACAAAGAGGTACTTAGCAAACATGTATTGAATTGATGGCTGCCTGCTATGTCCCAGTCCCAAGGTAGTGGTTTACAGGGAGTTTTATTCAATCCTACACAAAACCTTGCATGGTGGTAAGCTGAATTATTATACCCACTTTGCATATAAGAGAATAATTCTCAGGGAGGTTAAGTAATTTGCCTAGAAACATGTATTTATATTTATATGGCTAATAATTGCACAACAATCTGCAGTTTAAAATGCAGAGTAGAATCTAAAAATGCTAGGAAGCCACAAGTGGTGTCACCTGATGTATGAGGCTGTGATATTCAACTGCTACATCAAAAGCTTGGTTTCTTTATTTTTCAGTTTCTTTGTGAAATAAATTGATTTTCATTAGATAATTTGTGATCTCTTATGAAGGAAAATGCACATAAAAATTGACTGTTTCTTATCAATTGGTTGCTATGCTTTAATTTCATGACATATTATATATCAAGATTTGTGGTTAGGATCTCACCCATGTATTATAATTAAAAAAAAATTCATGGGGCCACCAGGATCACTCAGCAGGTAGGAGTACTTTCTGCAAAAACCCAGCAACTTGCATTCGGTCTCCACATCCCACATTGAAACCCAGAAGGGTGGTGAGCATATACATCTCTTAGTACTCACACAGGGAAATGGGAGGTGGAGACAGGAGAAACTGGAGGGCCAGCTAGTCTGGAATACCCTGCACAGAAGCAGAAACAAGAAGAGAGACCCTGCCTCAACAGTGGAAGGCAAGAACAGTATGGAAAGTTGTCCTACATAAAAGGAATGGGGATGTAGGTTAGTTGTAAAGCATTTGTCTAGCATCTTTGAGGCCCTAGGTTTCATCCTCAGCATCCTAAAACCAAACCAAACCAAACCATAAATACCTATATCTCACACACACACACACACACACACACACACTAAAATGAAACTTTAAAAATCTTTCCTAGTCCACAAAATTTATAAAGTGTTGCTCTGTGTTGTCAAAATCACATTGCTCTAAGGCCTTTGAGGGATTTGCAGATTAACAATGGTAGAAGTGGGAGGAGCCACAGTTAGCATTTGTGGAGGACTTAGTGTGTGCCAGACTTGTGGTACTTTGAGATTCACTTGAATTCGCCCACTAAAGCCCTGTAAAGTAAGCTCTGCTGTAGTGCATGCCTCTAAAGCCTGGACTTTTATCCCAAGCTAGAATTTGAAGATGGTGTCCAAGTTTCTTAACCCTCTCCAAGCTTCAGTTTCCTCATCAGTAAAATCCAGATAACGTAGGTTATCACCTTGCATGGATGCTGTGAGGTTAGAAATAATAAATGTGTACTTAGTAGGCATTTCAACCATTGTGGCGACGTTTGTGAATACCTGGGGCATTCAATGAGCACAGGAAGACCCGAGATCTCTTTAAAGATAGTGGGGAGCTGGAGAGGTGAATCTACAGCTTCAGCTGTCTGGAGAGCTGGCCCTCTCCCCTCCAGGATACAGTGACCCAATGAAGCTCTGAGGAAAGGCTGGGGGCAGGGGCCTGAGTCTGGCTTGGGCAACCTCTGCAGGGAGTAGGAAGAGAGGCGGGGAGCTGGGAGGGGCGTAGTAATCACGCTTGTCAGAGGACTGCAGGTGCTAGGCAGGGTTGGTGTAGGTGGGTTCAGGAACCCGGGGAGGGAGGGGAGGAGGTTAGGGCGGGCCGGCAGGCAGGCGTTGGGGAGAGAGGGAGGCGGGGCTCGGAGCCGGAGAGGCTGTCCTTAGACAGCTCTTCTCATGCCGGGCAGTTTGCTGCATCTGAAGGAGCTCACTGGAGAATCTCCAACCTCCGAGCGGGCCTTCAACTACCGTAAGTACCTGCAAATGAGCGCATAGTCCAGTGGCTGAAGATTAATTACTGGCCACAAGATCCTAAACAATAGCCCCGAAAGAGTCCCCCTGCTGTAATTAATTGCCGTATATCAATCTGCTCCCCAGTGTTTTCCCCCACCCCCTTCATCCCTGCCTTTCTCCTTCTGTCCCCAGATCCCAGTCCTGCCTCGCTGATAATCTCTGGGCAGTGTGAATAGCTTTCCTTTCCCTTCTCCAGTCTTCCCTCCAAATTCTCAGCGAAGCATGTACCAGGCACCCTGTGGAGCCCAACCCCTATGATTCCCAGAGCCCTTAAAGCTATGAAGGGGGCTAGCCATTTGGTATTTCGGGTATACCACCCTCAAAAGCACTGCGGCGCTGCCTAACAGTGGAGAAAGTGTTTAGGGTGGAGCACAAGGGGACTGCTTAAAAAAAAAAAAAAAAAAAGCAGACTCCACAGCCTAAGTTGGGGGATGGAAGGGGGGGGGGGGGGTGAAAGGGCAAAATGGGCGTGGCCAATTTTGAACCTGAGGGCAGTTCCCAAGTTCCCTGGGCATAAGATTTATCCTTCTGGCTGAAATGATATGGTACAGTTTCCTTAGTGACTGAGGAGTGGTCAGCCATGCTGAGAATTTTTCAGCTTTCCTGACTCCACTCCAGGCACCAGGAGGCAAGTCACTGATGTGGGGGTCCATGTGGTAAGGCTGAATCCTCAGGTGGCATTTTCTGGGTGCAATTCCAGGTTGAACTCTCTCTGGCAAAGAACCTAGCTTCCCCCAGTAGATTCTGGCCCAATGCCCCAGGCCAACAAAGCAACAGAGTGGCATCCAAGCTTTGGCCTGGCCCTGAGAAGACTGGGGACAAGGGGTTCTAGGAATTCAGATGGGAAGAGCCTCCTTAGGGTCCTATGCCATTTGGATCCCTCCTTTTAAGAATGGAAAAACACACACCTGTTTACATGAAATGTTCACAGCAAGCCTGGGGCTGTACACATATTTTCTCTAATCCAAAACAACAATGCTAGGTAGATATTATTCCCCCATTTAACATACAAGAAACATTCAGAGATGATAAATTATGGATCCTTTGACATAAGGTAAGAAATGAAAAACAGAGATCTGTTCTTCTTGGATCTATCACTGACAACCTGTTGTTTTAAAAATGAATCTTTCCCTCTTCCTGCTCTTGCCCAATGCTAGCATTGCACATTAGAGGCTGATGTTCTAAGATACATTTGGAGAAACAAAGTCAGTCCATTTCTCTCTTGTATGAACTGCCTGTCCCCTACTCTCCTGAGCTAAGATCAAATAACTGGCGCCAGCCAGGACTTCACTCTATGAGTAGAGATTTCATAGAGGAGAAGTAGCTTCACACTGTGAGGATACATCTTCCCGTGGAAAAAAGTCACTCTCAGGGAAAGGGGAGAGAATCGACCTCATGTATATGTAGGACCTGTAGTTTGTAGTGATTTCTGGGAAAATGAAAAGACCTCTCTGAACTCAAATATCTTTGCTACATTTCTTGAAATTCAAGTAATTCCATCTTCATTAGAGGTAGTGAACAAAGATACTTAGAAGATATGGGAAGTTTCTAAGGCGGGGCATGGTGGTGCACAACTTTTATCCTAGCACTTGGGAGGCAGAGGCAGGTGGATCTCTGTGAGTTCAAGGCCAGCCTGGTCTACATAGTGAGTTCCAGGACAGCTGGGGCTACAGGGAGATGGGAGAACCTGTCTCACAAAAAATAGATATGAGAAATTTCTAAAGGTGAATCATTTACACTTTTGTTAAGTGCAAAGAACTCGATTATCCAACACTTAGTCAAGATGGGGTATTGAGATTTGGGGTTAAGAGATAGAGCTGGAGTGGAAGAATTCCATAGGAAAGGTCTTTGTGGGATGAAATGGGAGGGGTGATAGAGGATGAAAATGGGAACAGGGACTGCCTCTGGACATGTGACTAGTACATTTAGAGTGTAGGCCTTGGAATTAAACATGGACTTCAATTTTTGATTGAATAATTTGACTTTCAGCAAATTTTATATCCTCCCTCAGCTCCATTTGCATCAGCAACAAAATGGAAAGGGCAGGAAACTTAATTTACTATGTTGTTGGAGGACTCAGGATTGTGTGTGTGTGTGTGTGTGTGTGTGTGTGATTAAAAGATCTAAAATGCTGATTCTTGGTGTATTCCACTTCTCCCTCTCAATAAGGTTTATTTAGGCTTCTTTTAGGTCACCTTATGTACCTTTGAGATATGAGGGACAGATTAACATGTCAACAAAAATGACATCTTAGATACCAGAAAATGTTTTTTGTCTTTCTGTTTTTGTTTTTTTGAGTGGAGAGATGGGGAAGTGAAGAGAAGGGACAAGGAGAGGAAAACAGCAAGTAGTATCGTAACTCACTAGGTGCCGGTAAGGGAGTGGAATGTCGGGTTATCAAGTGCAGTGTAGTGGTCTCGCCTAAACTTGAATGAGCATAATAGTTACTTGAGTAAGAACATTTCTTCTTTTAGACCCACTACCTCCTAAGGAGCAAACCCATCAAGACTCAGAGCTCACATTCTGCAACAGAAGCCCTACAAACCTGGACAGAGCAAGGGAGGGGGCCACCATGTTTCAGAACTTCACTCTCTTGCTCTTTTGTGTTTGTGAGTACAAAGAAGGGGTGAGAGGCAATTGACCCTGTCAGAAATGCCTTTGTGAGCAGGTGCCTTGGGGAGGTAGAAGAGAATACTGAAGTTGGAGGGCAGGATGGGAAAGAAGAGGTTCTCCTTCACCATTTTCTCTCTTTTCAGGGCTAAGTCTGGGTATGACCTCAGTGGGTAAGTGCCTTCCTGCCTCGTGTATGACCCTTAGCATAAAGGCCTTCAGATACCCAAGAAAGACTGAGCTGCTTAGGAATTAGAGCCCCTTCCATTGTGACTTGGTTTCCCAGGAAATGTGAAGAACATTCGCTCAGATGAGAAAGCAGCTATACTTGTACTTTATTCCACAGCTCATTTCTAGATTCCTTGACCAAATACCCTGGAGTCCCTATCCCATATGAGCCAGCACTTCCACTCCCAGAAGAAGGCATAAGTTGGGATCTGGGTGGGCTAAGGCCAATTCTAATACATGTTGTGGAGCACATTGTGGGAGGAAGAGGGATGACCACTCATATCTTTCTGATCCTTGGGAATGGCAGCAGTGGAATCTCAACCAGAGCTGTGGATAGAGTCCAACTACCCCCAGGCCCCTTGGGAGAACATCACACTTTGGTGCAGAAGCCCCTCTCGGATATCAAGCAAGTTCCTGTTGATGAAGGATGACACACAAATGACCTGGATCCGCCCTTCTTACAAGACCTTCCAAGCGTCATTCTTCTTAGGTGCCCTTACTGAGTCCACTACAGGTCTTTACAGGTGCTGCTACTGGAAAGAGAAAGGCTGGTCAAAGCCCAGTAAAGTTCTAGAGTTAGAAGCACCAGGTGAGATGACAGAGCTAGATACCCAAGAATATTCTCCAGCTCTTATGATTCAAATTTGCCTTCCTAGGGAAGGGTTTCCTAAATTCTTTCATTCATTTATCTCAAATGCATGCATGTGTGCATTCCACAATTAGTAATCAAGTACCCCCTCTGTATAGATAATGCACAATGAGGATGCAGCTCTGGAACACAAGTGGGGAAGGGAAGGGTGGCAAATAAGGGAAACCTCATTTGAAGGAGAGATGTCCTCCTCTCTGGGCAGCGCTGTCCTTGCTCTGCCTCATTCCAGTTCATTTTTCCTTTCCAGGCCAGCTGCCTAAGCCCATCTTCTGGATCCAGGCAGAGACCCCCCCTCTTCCTGGATGTAATGTTAACATCCTCTGTCATGGCTGGCTGCAGGATTTGGTATTCATGCTGTTTAAAGAGGGATACACAGAGCCTGTGGATTACCAAGTCCCAAGTGGGACAGTGGCCATATTCTCCATTGAAAACATGACACCTGAGAATGAAGGGGTTTACATCTGCCGCACTCACATCCAGATGCTCCCTACCCTGTGGTCCGAGCCCAGCAACCCCCTGAAGCTGGTGGTAGCAGGTGGGTGTGGCCATGGCTGCTGGCATCTGACAATTGTTATCCCAGGGATCATGGCTGGTTGAGCAATGATTTCTGATGTAACTTGCCTCAGCCAGTTCTAAGGTCCTGCAAAGTCCATGAGGTAGAGTCATTTGATATATTACTGAAGTAGAAATTAGAATCACACATGCTGCAAGGCATATGTATGGAAGCCAATCCTTTGCCTTGGGTCTGAGCCCAACCAACTGTTCAGTGGCTTCAGATTATTGTAGCTTTATTGTTATTTACTTGTTTAGTATCATTCATTCATTCATTCATTCAACCAATATTTATTGAGCACCTGATATGTGCCAGGCATTGCCAGTGCAGTCTTAAAACTGATACTTAACATTTTAATGTATTTGAAATTATTGTATTTAAGTGTGGTAAATAGAATTAATTATTATTGCCATTGATGAAAAAAAAACAACAAATGACTAAAAGTGTAAGTTTATCTTGTAGAAATGGCATGACAGATTACTTTGTCCCACATCAATAGAGCCAGGAAAGGCAGCACCAAGCTCTTAACACAGAAGCCAGCTCCCCAAAATGTCCAAATGTTAGGCATGTACTCCAGCCCTAATTCCTCTACCCCATGGGCTTGGATGATTCCAGGTGTAATTGTCCACATTTATGTAGTTCCTATCTTGATCCAAATAGACTAGGGAGAAACTGAGTTGCTACAGAAAGTAGCCCTGGTTTCTAGTTTCATCTATGATGCTGCTTCTCTGTGTGATGTTGAGCAAGTCACTTCACCTCTCTGTGCTTTTTTATTTATTTATTTTTTTGCACGCTAACATGGGATAACAGCATCTATCCAACCTATTGTATTATGCCATTCTGTGCCTCAATTTCATGATCTGCAAAATTGGTATAAGAATAATGCCTACCTCACAGGGTTGTTGTGAGGATTTGCCTAAATATGATGCATGTACAGTGCCTGGCATATAAGTTCTCAATAAATGGTAGATAATGCTTTTATTAGTATAGCTTTTTCTTGAGGATCAAAGTACAACGAGACTGCTTGTTTGACCTGTGTGTGTGTGTGTGTGTGTGTGTGTGTGTATGCTTGTTGTACATGTACCCTTCCAGCATAGATTGCACTAACACACACTTCTATTGTTATTTTTCACCAGGATTTCCCAATACTCTGAGTTTTCTGCTGGCAGAGTCTGTACGTTCTTTACCCTCATGCCCCTAGATCCACACGATTGATGACACGCCCAAAATTCCCCAAAGAATATATGACAGAGTTGATCCTTGATAGAGGATGGGTGGATGTAGTATACCTGGACTGAGGTAGGGGTAAGATGAAGTAGCATAGGGCTGAAGTTTGACCTCGTTTTTATAGTACAATCATCTTAGTGGAAACACACATGGAAATGAGGGTGTGCCTCATTACCAAATTTCATTGGCTTACTGGCCACAATCTTATTGGCTTCCTCAGATCTTGGGTTGGAAGTATGGTGTTAAAGTGAGCTTAATGTGTTCAGATGCTCTTGTTAATATTATAGTAAAAATTGTGCTCTACAAAGAAGGTGGAATCAAAGTTGTTCTTAGATGCTCAGGCTATTGGAAGAACTACACCCATCAGTTCAAGGATCTGAGCACATAGGACATTCCAAATGCAGAGATTGCCTTCAGACATGCGTCTACATCTCATGGTGGAGCTGATAGTCTTGTGAGACGAAAGAGGCATACATGAACTTACTCTTGATTACATACTAGAATAGGCAACTATCCAAGGGAAAAGAAGGAAGAAAGCTTAAATATCAATGACCACTTTTGCCCAAAGAAACTAGGAGAATAAAAACAGAATAGGGAAGAACCGACCTAACTCTAACTTCAGGGTCTCTTCCCTTTCTAGGTCTCTACCCCAAACCAACTCTGACAGCCTATCCTGGGCCCATCATGGCACCTGGAGAAAGTCTGAGCCTCAGGTGCCAAGGGCCAATCTATGGAATGACATTTGCTTTAATGAGGCTGGAAGATTTGGAGAAATCTTTTTACCACAAGAAGCCAGTAAAAAATGAGGCATATTTCTACTTCCGGTCTCTGAAGCTCCAAGATACTGGAAACTATCTCTGTTTTTACTATGACGGATCTTACCGGGGTTCACTGTTTAGTGATATCCTGAAAATCTCGGTAACTGGTAAGACAGGGATGTGCAATGGAACACGTTAAGGGTTTTTTAAATTTTTCACTGACTCCCCAACCTCCTAACCATGCAGCTGGGGCTAATGTTGGAGTTAAGGAGCAGAATTTGTGCATCTGAGATCTGAGTTTAAGAAGGGACTTGCAAAGTGCAGAGTAGAGGATGACAAGGAGGAAAATAACCCTAAGTAGAGGGTGGGGAGCAGGAGTTAAACCACTGGCTATTTGTATTTTGTGTCTCATCCCAGACACTTTTCCCAAGACCTCGCTACTTGCTCAGCCAAGCACTGTGGTCCAAATGGGTCAAAACATCAGCCTGAGATGCCGAGGACTAATGGATGGAATAGGATTTGCCTTCTATAAGAAACGAGAAGAAAATCCCCTTCAGGTTTTGGATGACACTAGCATCACTGACAACAAATCATTCTTCCTTGAGAATGTGACCTACAGTGATGCTGGCATATATAGCTGCCACTATTTTCTCACCTGGAAGTTGTCTATTAAGATGCCAATACACAACGCTGTGGAGCTTATGACTGTAGGCAAGTGATCACAACTGATTTTTAAAAATCATCTCCTTGTTTGTCTTTCTAAGAGGGAGTTGGGGCCCTTGTACTTTCCTAGAGTTAGAAGCTAAGGAGTAAAAACTAGGGGGCAGGAGATTGGGAGGGGGTTGCAGAGCTTTCTCTATATCCTTCAGGAATTTTCTCTCCCAGGATTCTCCTAAAGCCAGCATGACCCAACCCCACTGTGACTCCTGGAAAAATTATTTTCCTTCAGGCCAGGATAACCTTACAGGTATGAAGTGTTCCTAATTCAAAGTAGGGACAAATAATCTTTAGAGACCCAAGAAGAGAAGAAAGGAGTTCTAAATGCACAAAGTTTGAAGTAATTGATCAAGTGTAAGTAGAAAGGAAGAGAAAACCAAATGAGGAGCTCAAAAACGTTTGTCAGGGAGCAGGTGTTGGGTTCAAAGCCACTTCTAACTCTTGTCTCTGAATTGGTTTCAGATCAGGCCCCCAAACACTCTCTGTCAGCTTGGCCTAGTGTGGTGTTCAAAATAAGAAAGTCCATCACCCTTCAGTATCGAGTATCTCATCCAGCACTTGAATTTTCTCTGCAACGGGAAGGAAGACCTGCATTCCAAAAAGTCTCAGTGGATGGAGATTTCATCATTGCTAATGCTGAAGGGAAACACACAGGGACCTACAGATGCAGCTATCGTATAGAGGTACACTCTAACATCTGGCCACATCGCAGTGAGCCTCTGAAGTTGATGGGACCGGCAGGTGAGAGAATAACTTCTCATAAGAATACTGCTCCATCTATGCCCTGGGATCCCAAAGTCCTGCCCAGAAAGATAAGGGGATGAGAGGGTCAGGGCTTGGAAATCAGGGCCCATTTATCTGAGCATCTTTCCCCTGGGGTGTTCTGCAATCACTCAGAAGTAGTGAAGAGAGTGCTCGGAAGGCTTCCATTCTCCATGAAAAGGGCAATCTACTCCAACCTTCCTGAAAGAAGCTTTCTCAGTAACCAGCTCCCCTTCTGACCATGAATTTATTCACCTGACCCTCCCCCATCAAAGCTTTTGCTTCTGGTCTTCTCTAGCCACAGGGTTTCTCACCTGGAGTTCCATTCTGAGTGAAGCTATCAGGATGTCTGTAGTTGTACAGCTCGTTTCCTTGCTTTTGGTAGTGCTGTGGATAAGGTGGAAATGTTGGAGACTGAGACTCAGGTAATGGTCTTCTCTCAGCCTTCTATTTCCCAAGCTAGCTCACCATGTGCTCCCATAGTCTCTGGAATATGTCACTCCTGATTGAAACAAGCCACAGGTGTACCCTCTATATATCCATCTAGGCTTATAAGTCAAGACGTTCTCACTCTGTTTCTTTTTCACATCACAAAGGGGTCATAAGGTGGAGCAATGCATAATTTCCAGAGGCTGGAGAAATAATCAGAAGCATGTTCCCTAACCCCACCGTTCCTAGGGTGCCCAAATCTCCTCCCAAACCACCCTGTCTCCCAAGACATGATCAATATCGTCCCCACTGATATGGTGTGAACCTGTTCTTTTGTAAGAAACCATGGTGTTTTGTCTTTCAGGTTGTTATCTAATTCCCATTTCAACTTTTCAACTTTACCCCTCTCTTTCAAGGACTAGAAGGTCTAGATTCCTTGAGAAAACAATATCTCTGCCCCTATGGGCTCCTATTATCTATGCAGAGCATCCTTAGAACATAGTCTTAACCTGGGTAGGCATCTGATAAGATAATGGATAGAGCCAGGGAATCAGACCATATCCTCTGACCACGAAATAGCCAAACAGATCACTCTGCCATTTCTGTTTTATTCTTCAGTGTCCTTTCTACATTCAACCTCTCTCCCTCATCCTGATGGCTATTCCAGTTGGCATTAATAAGTGAAGTGACAGATCCTAGCCCAGTGGCGGTCGTACCACCTAAATGTTTTCCTTTCTTACCTCCACCACCTGCTTCTGGCAGTACCCGCCTGCCACCTTTTTGTGTCTGGGAGAATTCAATGAACAATGGGTGATCACTAGTATGTGTGCCCATGTTTTCTGCTGTGATCTGGGGTATAGAGTTCTGGGTTAACAAGAGGGGAGCCACCCATGGCTTCTGCAAAAAACACCACCTTTGGAGTTTTCTAAACATTTCAGTGAGGTCAATTTCTAGTACTTCTAAGATTTTGTGCAGAATTTTATATACTTTGGGCCTTACCGCTCAGAAAAGATGTAACTTCATGTGTCTTACTCTGCACCAGGACCATTGCATTTAAGAATGAGATCAGAAACCAGATTTCAGAAGAAGCAGCTTGAAAAGTGTATTTTCCTGACTAGGAAAAGGCTGAGGGAGGTCATGTTTTCTAATGAAAAATTGTCAAGTGAATTTTGGCTTAATACCATCTAATTCTACAGGATGCAGAACCCCAAGGTGGTGCACACTTGTAGTTATAATCTATGTAGCCGGGAGGGAAATCCACTCTCCTAGAAGCTTAGTTCAGCACTGACAGTCTTCTGGTAATTCATTAAGGCTGCCTAGGCAACCCTTCCATAACAAAGGCAGGTGAGGCAGGTCAGTCTGAACACCAATACTACCATAGGAACAACTGCTTCCAAACTTAAACTTGATGACTGAGAAACACCCAAGGTTGCTCCGTCCACCCCCACACCCGCCACCCGGAACTACTGAGTTCCAGGGGTTCTGAGAACTGGAGATACAAAAGCATTTTCCCTTTTCCCGTCTGACATCTCATTTGCAGCAACAGCCTAATCAGGGGCCATGGGGAGCTGACATATGATATAAGCTGGGGTAGGGGGAGGGATGAGGAGCATGTGGGTCATGAAAGTGCAAGGAGTTTATAGGTGGTAGGCCCTCCAAAAGAAAAGTCATCAATGTCAGAAAAGATTATATCCCATTATCCTGGCCATACCCAATCCCTATTGGGTAGTGAGTAAGCCAATGACATAAATTGCCGCCCCCTTCTCTCTGCCCTCCCCCTAATCCCAGCAACTCCTCTCATCTCTTTTCTGGTCTCGCTAGAGAAGCCTGGTTGCTGGGAACAGCTCAAGGGGTCGCCATGCTCTTCATAGTCACAGCCCTTTTTTGCTGTGGTGAGTACAAGGGGGTGGGACAGGGGCTTGGTTAGAAGGCTGGGAGTCAGTCTTGGGGAAGAGGGGGCAGAGTCTGGCAGCAGTTTCTTTTGCAGGACTCTGCAATGGGGCATTGACAGAAGAGATTGGTGAGTTTTTCCTGCCCCAGACTGGGACATTCCTCTCTGGAGATCCGAAATAACTACAGAGTGTCAGTGTCAGTGTCCAGGGAGTGACTAGTTGGGAGGGAAGGACAGGCCAGGAAGGCGCACTTGCTAAAGCTACTGGCAAAATTCAGCTTTTGACTCTGCTTTTCTGCCTGCTAAAAATTTCCCCAAGCTTCTGCACTTTCTGAGGCTCAGCTGAAACATCAGCTTCCCCTTTCCCCAGAACCTGAGGAAAGAAGTAAGATAGGAAGGAAAGGATTCTGATTGAAAGGGGTGGTGGGCTGTGTGATCTGGGCATGGGTTTCAAGAGAAAGGAAAGGAGGGAGGGGAAGTATGAGGGGTGGGGTGACTTCATTAACTCTGCTGTTTCTAGAAATAATCATGCCAACCCCTAAGCCTGAACTGTGGGCAGAGACGAACTTCCCTCTGGCCCCGTGGAAGAACTTAACCCTCTGGTGTAGAAGCCCTTCTGGCTCAACTAAGGAGTTTGTGTTACTGAAGGACGGGACCGGGTGGATCGCAACTCGCCCAGCCTCAGAGCAGGTCCGGGCTGCATTCCCCCTTGGCGCCCTGACCCCCAGCCACGCCGGCAGTTATCATTGCCATTCATGGGAAGAGATGGCTGTGTCGGAACCTAGCGAAGCACTTGAGCTGGTGGGGACAGGTAAGGAAAGGCAGGGGATCCTCCCAGAATGATCCCCAGTGCCCCTGGGACTCCGGCGCTGCTGGGAGGAGAGGATGGGGGAGGGGGGAAGGAAGAGCGTGAGAAGAGACCCTTAGGAAGTACTCAGGGCCAGCCAGGATAGATGTTTGTTTACAAAGTAACTCTGACGGTCCTGTCTGGGCACCTGTAAACTTTTCCACCCCAATTTTATTTCTAGACATTCTCCCCAAACCTGTCATTTCGGCTTCCTTGCCAATCCGGGGTCAGGAACTACAAATCCGATGTAAAGGATGGCTGGCAGGTTTGGGGTTTGCTCTGTATAAGAAGGGAAAGCAGGAACCTGTCCAGCAACTTGGTGCCAGTGGGAGAGAAGCCTTCTTTACAATTCAAAGAATGGAGGATAAAGATGAGGGCAATTATAGCTGCCGCACACACACTGAAAAGCACCCCTTCAAGTGGTCCGAGCCCAGTGAGTCCCTGGAGCTTGTCATCAAAGGTAGGTACAGCTGAAAAGAGTGTGTAAGGGAGGAGGGGCAGGCAAAGCGCTGTCAGACACTCCTCTCTCCACCACAAACTTTGCTGCTGGTCCTAGGAGCCTGTGTCCAATCTTAGAGCCAAGCAGGCGTGGCGCTGGGCATGCCAGGGCCTCTGGCTGCATGATATTAATAGCCATAATCGTTATTAATAGCTTGGGTTTGTGGAGGGTGATTTAACTTTTCTAATTATTTTCCCATCAATTATCTCATTTAACTATAGAGGAAATCTTGAAGGGAGGTGAAGTAGGCACATATGTCCCCCTCTCATCCAGATAGGCAACCCGAGGCTCAGATAACTAGTAGAATCTTAAGGAAAGTTCAATAACTTCCCTTGCCTGTTTCACTGACATTGAGGATTCTTCTGGAAGACATGAAAGACAAGGCTGAAGAATCCTTGAAAGAAAATTTGAACATACCCACTTCTGAATGAAAACATAGTTTCCTAAAAGCATATTTGCTGTATGAGATTGCTTGCTTTTTCTTAATTTGGTTTTGAATTGTGTTTTGTCTTTGTCTTCTAGAAATGTACCCCAAACCTTTCTTCAAAACATGGACCAGTCCTGTGGTCACTCCTGGGGCCCGAGTGACTTTCAATTGCTCCACTGTCCACCAGCACATGAGCTTTATTCTTTACAAAGATGACAACGAAATTGCATCTAGTGACCGGTCCTGGGGAAATCCAGGGGCCAGTGCAGCTCACTTTTTGATCATTTCAGTGGGTATTGGTGATGGAGGAAACTACAGCTGTCGTTATTATGACTTTTCTATCTGGTCTGAGCCAAGTGACCCTGTGGAGCTCATTGTAACAGGTGCGGGAGGGGGAAGTCTTGGGGGAGGTAGTAGGACTCTGAGTAAGTGAGGGGAAGGGCTGCAAGCGAGAGGGAGGAGAGGAAGAAATATTCTTTCTAAAGGACACTGCGAAAGTTCTTAGGACAGTGCCTGGCATGTGGTGAACAGTACATTTAGGACAGCTGCTCATGTTATTATCACAGGAAGAAAAGACAAAGGGATGGGGGAGGTGAGAAATTCACTTCTGAGAAAGAAAATAGGCAGATGAGGGTGTTCCAATCAGGAACCAAGCTCAAGTTGCCCTATTTCCGAAATAATATTTTTTGGCATGGCCTTGAGCTTTAAGTTTGATGTTCTGTTTTTCCTGAACTGGGCTGTGAGAGATTGGTGGGCTGGATGTCCCTCAGAGGATAGTAGAAATCCTTGAAATGTCAGTTGCATGTTATGCAGCCATTACAAATGATCATTTCAAAGGCAGTTTAACGTCATAGGAAAAATGTTTGCAACATAAACATATCAGACTATCTAACTCTGAGTACAGTGAGGTCTTAATTACATAAATAGACTTAGCTACAAGGATGTAGTCATGTGTTGAAATATAAGTGGAAAAATATATATTGTTACATTTGAGTTGGTAAAATTATGTTTTCATCATTAGATTTTGTTGCATTTTCTTTAATTTTCTATAATGAATATATATTATTTCTTATAATAGCATTATAAAACTGTTTGCAAAATGTGGGGAATAATCTTCCCTTATATTATGATCTCTTTCATTTCAGAATTCTACCCAAAACCCACCCTTGTGGCACAGCCGGGCCCTGTGGTACTTCCTGGGAAGACCGTGACACTGCACTGCCAAGGGATTTTCCAGGGCATGAGGTTTGCCCTCTTACAGGAGGGTGCCCATGCTCCCTTACAGTTCCGGAGCACCTCAGGGAGCTCAGTTGACTTCCTCCTCCACACTGTAGGAGCAGAGGACTCTGGGAACTACAGCTGTATCTACTATGAGACAATCATGTCAAACAGGGGCTCATACCCCAGTATGCCCCTTATGATCTGGGTGACGGGTAAGGACAGACAATATCTGGGAGTGGGATAGAGACCATTGCAGCAGGGAATAAGGAGATTAAGGGATTAAGGCTAGGCTAAACTATGGAAGGGACTAATTTTGTCCAGGGAAAAAGCAGTTAATTCAGGGAGGGAGAGACAAGTTCCTATACTCACTCCTTATTCATCATTGTTCTTTTTCTAGACACATTCCCCAGACCATGGCTATCTGCTGAACCTAGTTCTGTGGTCACCATGGGACAGAACGTTACTCTCTGGTGCCAAGGACCAGTCCATGGAGTTGGGTACATTCTGCACAAAGAAGGAGAAGCCACATCAATGCAGCTCTGGGGATCCACCAGTAATGAAGGTGTATTCCCTATCACCAACATATCTGGTGCTAGCATTGGGCGTTATAGCTGCTGTTATCACCCTGACTGGATCAGCACTATCAAGATACAACCTAGCAACACTCTGGAACTTATAGTCACAGGTAAGGGGATGATACTGTGGAGTGGGCATTGTAGTATAGAAAGGAGGGAATAGACTGGTTCATGAGAGATGGTTTTAAAGAGACTTATAGAGGCAGATGACAGTCTTGCCTCTTAATTGATCAGAGACTTGGGGGGATGGCAGAGACAAATGTGCTTCAAAATGACCTCTTCACTTTGACCAAGGGTTAATCTCTTCCAGGTTTACTTCCCAAACCCAGCTTATTAGTCCAGCCAGGTCGCGTGGTAGCCCCTGGAGAAAACATGACTCTTCAATGTCAAGGGGAACTGCCAGATTCAACATTTGTACTGTTGAAGGAGGGGACTCAACAGCCCTTAGAGCAACAGAGACCAAATGGGTACAGAGCTGACTTCTGGATGCCAGTGGTGAGGGATGAAGATTCTGGAGTCTATAGCTGTGTTTATTATTTGGATTCTGCTCCCCTTGCAGCTTCAAATCATAGTGACTCTCTGGAGATCTGGGTAACTGGTAAGGTTTTGAAGATTTCGATAAGCATTTAAATAGTGTAGCTTTTGGCCTTTTCATAGTTAACAATAATGGAAGAGATGGCTGCATTCAGGGCTACTTCTTTTAACTCTATGTTCTTATTGGTTGCAGATAAACCCCCTAAACCCTCTTTGTCCGCTTGGCCCAGTACTGTGTTCAAACTAGGAAAAGACATCACCCTTCAGTGCCGAGGACCCCTGCCAGGAGTTGAATTTGTCTTAGAACATGATGGAGAAGAAGCACCTCAACAGTTCTCAGAGGATGGAGACTTTGTCATCAACAACATAGAAGGAAAAGGCATAGGAAACTATAGCTGCAGCTACCGCCTACAAGCCTACCCTGATATTTGGTCAGAGCCCAGTGATGCCCTGGAGCTGGTGGGAGCAGCAGGTGAGTAGATAAACCCTCCATGAAGGGTCCTTTTATGACACACCTAGTAGTCCAAAGACAACCCCCACTGAGACAGTCCAAATCAGAAAGAGGAAGGGTTGTGGTGTTAGAGCCCACAAGTATATCATCTTTTTGTAAAGATGAGGAGGAAACAGAAACATTCACTCAAAGACAATGAGTAGGTTATTTAGGGCCTCCCTGCCTGCCATAAAGCATATGCCTCACCAAATGCATCTCTACTGGCCATCATTCCACAGCTCAGTGCATGGCTCCCATGTGACTCTGAGGAGGCCAGAGGGAGAGGACAATATAATATCAAGAGGAACAGCCATGTGCTAAGCTCTGTGGTTTTTGATCCTTTTCTATTCTTTTATATGCCACAGGACCTGTTGCTCAAGAGTGCACTGTGGGTAACATTGTTCGAAGTACCTTGATCGTGGTGGTTGTAGTAGCTTTGGGGATAGTGCTAGCAGTAGAGTGGAAGAAGTGGCCTCGTCTGCGAACCAGGTGAGTATTCATACCAACTGGCTTCTGGAAATGGAATACTGCTGGATAAAACATGCTCTAAATCCTTCTATAGCATCTACGCCCCACCCTACAACGTACTCTTTTCAGATTAATGGATTTGGACTCTCCATTACTTTGTCTTTTTCATTATACAGGGGCTCAGAGACAAACGGAAGAGACCAGACAATAGTCCTTGAAGAATGTAACCAAGAAGGCGAACCAGGAACCACCACCAACTCTCCCTCATCAACCTCTCAGGGAATCTCAGTGGAACTGACAGTCCCAATATAATCTCCCTGTCTTTACAAGAGTTTTCCTCTCCTGTCTTTTACCTGCAGAGACCTGGAAATTCAACTTGGTTAGCCTGGGATTCAGCTATATCTACTGATTCTTGATCTGTAACTGTCTGAGTTTGGTCAAAGGGATTCTGGGAGTTGCAAGCTCTATCAGGTCAAGTAGTTTCCTTACCCCATAACTCCTCACTGTACTGATTTACTGGTGCATGAAATTCTATTAAAGTGTATTCTTCTGAATAAAGAGAGTATTCACTATTTAACTGCAAAAAACAAACCTATGGTACTGGTCTTTTTGAGGTCTGTTTCACACTTACAACTTAGCAGAGATGGTGTTAGAACTGACTTCAGTGGAAGAATATAAGGATATAGGGCTGCTAGTACAGAGAAAGTAGTCCAAGGATTGGATGGAGGAGGAGAGAGAACTTGAAAATTAGCAATTTGCGACTTGCTTTAAGATATGGACAGTGAACACAGTGTCCTTCTTCTATCCTATTGTTGAATGGGTGAATGATAACGTTCTGTTCAAGCTAAGTATGAGGAAGACAAACACTGAAGTTACAGTCTTTTCACCATGTTGCATTTAGGTCCACAGCACACCAGCTGTCAAACAGCAGGACTGGCCCTCTGCAGAACTTTGAAGCTGGAAAAGTATGCTTTGTAATACTTATTAGCAACCACAGGGTATTAATTTAATGGTAAGTATGGACAATTAATAAAAACTGTTATTTCACCGCTTTATAAAGAAAGCTTGGTTTCTCCAAAATTATGTGTTGTAGTGGTGGGATCTCTGAAAGTAAGTAAGCAATTGGCATGTGTGGTTTTTTAGCATGGAACCTCTTAGTGTCCCCTTCCAGGGCCTCAAACTGAAACTGACTCTTATTCTTAGACTCTGACCTTTTTTTCCCCCTGCATCAACATACCCTTTGTTTCATGATTAGGAATTCGGCACACATTAGACATATTGGATTGTAGAGGGAGGCTTACCTAGTTCCTTGAACCTTGTTGAAGACCTCTGAAGAATTGATCTGTGGGTCCTAGAGAAGGTTATGACCCCTTCACACATGACCCTAAAGATCCTTACCTCCTAGTACTGTGTAATTCTAAGCAAATACAGTTCAGTAGAACACTATACAAGGGTCGAGCACACAGTGAGTTATTTATCCTTGGTTACAATAAACTTTGGAAAGCAACGTCTATATCTTTGCATTAGGAAGCTTATTTACCCCTCAAGTTAATGGGAAAAAAACGCCTCCCATTTCCCTTAATCCTTAAAGAATGAAACATTCTGAGTACTGTAGACTAATTTGTATTAAGCTCTGTGGAATTTAAAAGTACAAAGTCCCACTTTGATTTCTATTTGATGAGATTTTATTAGTTGCTTATACTAATTTCTTACAGTGTTTCTAAAAATTGCATTTCAAAAGTGCTTTTACATTTGAATCCAGCCAAACCTAATTGTTGCTTTGTACTGAACACTTCTCTGCCCTCAAACTCTACATTCTTAACCCTCATTCAAGCTGTGCCTTTTGAACACTGGAAGATGGCCCATCCTTGGTCCTTGGTTTTAGGATAAAAGTCCTTTGATCGGGTATGATTTTATTTTCTGATCTTTGGATTCTTTAAAGTGTATATTGTCAAGGCTAGTGACAGAGCTGTACAAGTTAGTAAGTGATCACTTGATTGCCTTAGCTCTTCACCAAGGGAAAGAAAAATAGGAAGAAAAGATCAGAGAGCCACAGGCTGAAATTTAGAGAAGCCTCTGAGCCAGAAAAGCAGGACCTAAACAACACAAACATACCAGAAAGAGACTCTTGTGAAATGTACACATTGAACCTGGGGTCTCCTGTGTCACAAAGGTTCAAACAGATACTCGTGTGCAACCAGGGAGAAGACTGAGAAATCTTGCACTGAGAAACAAATCGTGAGAAATAGTGTGACACTGAACCCTTAGTTGGCTTTCTTTATACACTCATACACACTGTTCTTTCACTAAAAGAACCTTATTAGAAGGGAAAAAGAGTTGTCAATTAACTGTGAAATATTTAAAGACAAAGAGTGGATCTGGGATTTAACTTTGCTACTCCCTGTCAGAGCTACCTCAATGAATTAAATAACTATTTATAATGCAGAAGTCGTCAGAAACTATCTCAATGAATTAAATATCTATTTATAATGCAAACGTAGCTTGTTGCCGACAATTCTCCACATGGTCTATTTTTTCAACCTGGTTGCCATGGGAATCAGTCCATTTACCCCTGGCTGGCCTCTAATCATCACCCAGCATCAGGTAATTTCTGGGAAGTGGAATCTCAATTAGGATGGAATGAACCCGAGAGGAGAATTTATCGCTGGGACTCCAAAGAGAAAATCCTAAAACCTCACCCAAGTTTGAGAAAATAAATGTAAATCCCTCCTGATTCTCGAGTTCATACACCTTTGGCTCCAGCATCCCAGAGGTACACAGAGTATCCAATACAGGATCGCCTTTGTAGCCACACTGACATGTAGACACACTATCTTTTCTTGTACACCTCTAGGGGAAGGGAGTGCACCACTTCGTGGAAAAGCTTGAGAATTTCACATTGTTCTATCAGCCCTCTATCTGCCTGTATGTATTCCTTTCATACTCAGAGGCTCTAATTCTGACTGAAATTGCAACCCTGACCAAATTTACTGCTTACACCTAATAGTCCTCCAAAGCCTGGAAAACAGGGTAACTCCCTGAGTCCATTTGCTCTCAACAAGTACTGGGGTCAGAGTTTTATCAAATTCCACTTAGAAATGTATTTGTGCTGTTAATCCTTGATTATCCAGGCTCCAGATATGACAGAATTCACAGCTATCTCACTCCTGACAGACTCAAGTAGAGCAACACTTTAAACATTCTGTATATCTGTGTGTTTTTTAAATATTTACTGACTGCTTCTATATGTTGCATAGTGTTCTAGGCACTGGGTACAGTTGTGAGTGAAACAGATAATCCCTGCCAATCCAGAGTTCGAAGCATATGACAAATATCATTGGTAATATGTTATGTGGAATATTACATACTGATAAAATGCTATGATGAAAAAATCAAGGACATAGAAGTGGCGCAGAGATGTATTTTGTGAGGACATTACAACTTAAAAAAATTTTTATTTAGCATTTTTTATTTTATGTAATTTGTAAAAGATGGCTGGGAAGACCTCATTGAGAAGGTAACATCTGAGTTATGGTTGAGTCATGACCATGAAGGAAAAATAGTGCAACAGGAAAAATGGATTCTGATCAGAGGTAAAAGTGGGTATTAAAGCACTGAAATAGGAGAACCGGTACATTTTTTGGAGTTGTGAGTGAGCTCGTGTGGCTGGGGCAGTGTAAGTAAGGAGGAGTATAAATGCACATGGATGTTTGAGAGGCGATGGGAATGCAGCCAAGAAAGATCTCGGAGGTCTCTGTAAGGACTTTGACTTATACTCTGAAATAGGAAGCCACTGGAGTTATATTTAAACAGAACCCTCCAGCCTTTTCTGTGGAAGGCACCAGGGTAGAAACAGAGGTATCTTCAAGGAGACTATTGTAATAATCCCAGAAAGTTGAAACTGGCTTAGTATAGGACAGTAGCAGAAGAGGTAGTGAGAAATTGTCATTTTATTGGTTTGATCTGTAGAAACACTCAACAGGGTTTGCTGACAGATTGAGTGTGGGGTGTGTTCTGTAAACATTTCTGCTAGAAGACGGAAACATTCCACATGCTGCTCAGTGTTACCCTCCCTGGATTATTTTCATCTCATCCTTAATAAAGACTTTTCTAACACCTCTCAAACCAGGCCACCACTTTAGGACAGTCAGTGAGTTTTTCATATATGTCCAGAAACATTGTAAACAGGCCATGGTCTTGTATGTCTGCAGCAGTTCAAAGAATACAGGGGATAGGCAGCAGTGAAATGATTACTTTGTGGGATCTCTGTTCCCCATTACCACCATGTAAATTACATTAGTCCCTGAGCAGCCAGATCACACTGTTGGCTCATATGAAATTTGTGCTCAACAAAACCCAAGACACATTTCACACAAGCTCTTGCCAGTTCAATGATTCCTTTTCCTTACTCATGCAAATGATGTGTTTGGAAATTGAGTTTTTAACTAAAGTCTAAGAGTTGACATTTACTCCTGTTATGCCTTGTCTTATGAGACCTAGCTTATAAAAATCATATATTCTGTTAAGTCCCTTTCTAGATATCTGTAGACTCAAACTCTTTCACTCCTAGCAGCAATGCAGTGTGAAGCCCCTTGACATTATCCCTGTTCACAGATGAGGAAACAGAGCCTCTGAATTAAGTATTTCAGCCAATCAGCTCATAACCAAGGGCAGAGGTGAAAATAGAATTCAGTATTATCTTTGCGATGGTTAATCTTCACTATCAACTTGGCTGGACTTGGAATTACCTAGGGGGAAAACCTATGGGTGTATCTGTGATGGTGTTTCCAGAGAGGTTTAATTGAGGAAGGAAAATTCACTCTGAATAGGGGTGATAAAAAGGAAAAAAGGAAAAAGCTTGCTGAACAGTGACATTCCCCTTCCTCTGTCTCATGGTTCACTGGGACTTTTAGAAACTAGGACACGTGCCCCTGCCACCATGAACATCATGCTTAACCCAACATGATGGGCTGAGTACGCCCTTAAACCAAGAGCCAAGGTAAACCTTTCCTTCCTTAAGTTGCTTCTGATAAAGTATTTTGCCACAATAATGAGAAAAGTAACTAATACAACACACTTCCAAAACCAGACTCTACAGCAGTGAACTTCAGCTAGCACAGTACCTGGAACAGAATTGAAGGTACAGGATTCACTAAATTGATCACCTTCCCAACATGCTTTTTTATTTATTTTCTTCAACAGTATACATACTTAATTAGTGGTTCATAGCTTTATTTTAGTGTTTTACATTCATTAAGCAATTCCATCCTTACCAAAGTAGATACTATTGTTATTCACTTTTTTGACAAAGGAGGAAATGGACGGAAATTGAAGTTAAGCAAGGTAGTAGGCCACACAGTTAGGAGGTGTTAGGGACAGGATTTGTACATGGCAGCCTGGCTCCACACTTTGTGTTTGTAATCACTAAGCTATGCCATCTCAGGTTTCTGTGAGATCCTGACCTTGCACTCTCAAGGGAAGGAAGGGCCTCTGCCCAATTCACTGTCCATTGCCAACACTAAACCTGCAGCCTCCTGTGGGAGCTCATTGAAGACTGTCTTTTGTCCCCTTTTCTCTTCCTTCT